GTCTCTCTCTGTCTTTCTGGGGAGCGCATGCGCCCTATAGCGAAAAACCTCTCCAAAAAAAAAAAAAAAAAAAAGAAATTCAGGCAAGGACTTTGTCTTTCCATATAGAAGTTTAGTTAACCCAGCCCCAGAAGATGAAGCAATAAATCAAACAAAAGCAAACAATCGCCATTCAAAATCCACCTCCAGTCTACTATAGCGACAAGCCACAGCTCCATCTGAGTCCATCTTTATTGTCCTTAAGAAAATAGATAAGGGACCAGCAGTTGGCATAATGGCTCTATGGCTGGACTCCCATGTAGTCAACAGCGGTTCAAGTCCTGGACCCGGCAGCTTAAACTCACGCCGGGCGTGTGCGCGTGTTTCCAAAAGATCCCGAGAGGAGAATGGAGGAGAAAGGACTGTGGCATGGCCATCCCTCCCTGGGAGGTGATTTCTCACTTTCTGTCTCTCTATCTCTCTCTGTCTTTCTGGCGAGCGCATGCACCCTACAGCAAAAACCTCTCCAAAAAAAAAAAGAGAGAGAGAGAGAGAGGGAAGTTTATTCAGCTCAGTTTGGAAAGAAAGATCCAGGGATCACCTCTAGTGGGTGCCTTGCAGAGTTCCAGTAGAGAGCAGAACTGTGTCCATGTGTCTGTCTATCCTGGTCTCATTATCCTTATAAACCCACCAACATTATGTCATGGGGACCCCATCCTAATCATTTCATCACTCCCAAAGTCCCCACCTTTCGACATCATGAGGTATTAAGTTTCTTCTAACCACCTTCACAACAAAATCTCAATACATCTATTTTTGGGAGACTTTTTTTTTTTTAAATAATTATTGTATTTAACTTTATTTATTTAGATTTGACCCGAGAGGAACAGAGTGAAAGAGAGAGAAAGTGACAAAGCAAGCCGCCGGGTCCGGGACTCAAGCCACAGTCCACCATGTGGGAGTCTGGCACCCTTAACCACCACACCACCACACCACCTGCCAGGCCTTCAGGAGATAATTAAAACCTTAACACCCTCTAAAATTAGACCGTTTCTGAACATCATAGGTGCTCAGTACACATTTGTCCAATAAATGGCATTGAATATCAGGAAAGCTTTTTTCTAGAGAGAGATGCTCACACAATCATCTCACTTCATCAGGATTGTGTATATGCTAAAGTAGAAAATAGGTGAAGAATGGGACAAGCAGGTGGGTTAATGGTACATCGCTGGGCTTTCACATGCCCGACTGCAGTTCGAGTCCCAGACCCAGCGGCTTTGAAACTTACTCCAGGCCCGTGTGCATGTGTGCTCAAGATCCGAAGAGGAGAATGGGGAAGAAGGGATTGTGGTGTGGCAATCTAACTTTGTCTGATTTCTTGCTTTCTGTCTCTCTGTCTCTGTCTCTCTCATGAGCGCACATGCCCTGTAGCAAAAAAAAATCTTTAGAGAAAAAAAAAAAAATAGATGAAGACTATAGGGGTTTAATAACCCTAAAGAAAGTACTTGAAAGAATTCCAGCTCAGTTTGAAATGTCCCCACACTACGCCACTTCATGCAAAAACAAGGACCATCTTGCGACGTTAAAAGGCAACAAATGTAAAACGAATAAGAGGAAATACTTTTTAAAGCAGCGTATAATCTACCTGTGGAATTCACTGCCGTAGGGTATTATTGAAGCAAATAGTTCAGCAAGATGCAAGAGAGGATTAGACATTTATATGGCTAGGAATAATATTGGCAGTTTACACTAACTAGGTTAAAAAGTTACAACGCGTGTCGTCCTGGGCTTCGGGGTATAACTGCTCACCAGCCGGGGTGAGGAAGGAATTTCCCCCTGCGACAGAGCTTGGTGTAATTGGCCGGATACACGAGGGTCCTATCTTGCTGTCTTCTGTGATCTACAGGGAGACCACTGCCGAGGGGCAATTTCTAGAGCAGGGAGACCAGTGACCTCTACACATGGCCCGTCTGTCTTCTTGTACAATTCTGAAAGGAGGTTGCACATGGAAAGTCTTTGGGGCTTCATCCCTGAGAATTTTTCCATTTCAGAAACCAGAAATGGTAAAAAGAACTTTCTTCTTTCTAATGATGAAAATACTTCATGGGATGGAATCATGCCCTGGCTGTAATCTTATTAGCAACAGGGATAACGGCGCCTGGAAGCTACGTGAGCACTTCCAAACCTCCACACGTCAGAGGTCTTACCTATCTCATACACGGCATGGTCATCATTTTTTTTTTCTAAAGAATTATTGGGACCAGCAGTTGGCATAATGGCTTTGTCACTGGACTCCCACGGAGTCGACCGTGGTTCAAGTCCCAGACCCAGTGGCTTAATCTCACACTGGGCACGTGTGCATGCATGCCCAAGATCCCGAGAAAAGAATGGAAGAGAAGGGATTGCGGCGTGGCCATCCCCTCTGGGGGATGATTTCTTGCTTTCTCTCTCTCTGTGTCTTTCTGGTGAGCACACACGCCCTATAGCAAAAACCTAAAAAAAAAAAAAAAGAGAATTATTTAATTTAATTTTATTCATTGTCACTATTTTATTTTACTTTTTTTTTTTTTGGAGAGGTTTTTGCTATAGGGCGCGTGCGCTCGCCAGACAGACAGAGAGAGACAGAGAGACAGAAAGCAGGAAATCACCCCCCAGGGGGGATGGCCACGCCGTAATCCCTTCCCCTCCATTCTCCTCTCGGGATCTTGGGCACGCATGCACACGCGCCCGGCGTGAGTTTAAGCCACCGGGTCCGGGACTCGGACCGCGGTCGACTACGTGGGAGTCCAGCAACATAGCCATTACGCTAACTGCTGGTCCCTATTTTATTTTACTTTTGTTGATATTGATCAGAGAGAGATAGAGAGAAGCAAAGTGAGAAAACAAGCTGCCAGGTCTGGGACTCAAACCATGGTCGGCCATGGGGGAATCCAGTAGCCTTAACCATCATGCCACCTGCCCACCCCATCACTCATTTTTCATATCCGGCTAATGCTATACCTTATGCACATGCACTCCTACATAGGCGCTTAGTGCAACAGCATTTCTGCAGGTGTGGTAACCACTCATAATGTTGTCTGCTCACCTAGGGAAATTTTTCTCTTTGTAACAGTCAATGCTGGGCTCAACCTTTCATTCTTGGTGACGTATATCATGCATTGTCTTTTTCACTCTAATGTGGATAATCAAAAATGTGGCGGTTGTTAGCCAGGTATCTAAATACACATCCTTAATAACATGGTATCAGATTCAAGAAGACATTGAAACGAAATTATTCATTATGCTTACTTACTTCACAATCCTTTCTTAGACAACACCTGAGAGAAATTGTATCAGTGCTTTAA